CCCGAAGCATTCCTCCACTTCAACCAATTTGAATTCTACTATTAACATCTCCATCTATATCACCATCGCTTTGAACAACAAACCCGAGATATCTAAATCGTTTACACCTTTTAATAATTTGATCACCCAAAGTTACACTTCTGTCACTAGAGCTACTCCTACGAAAATTACATTCTATGTATGCAGTTTTAGTTCTACTCAAATGAAGGCCTTTAGACTCCAATGTAGACCTCCATAATTCATGTTTTTCCTGGGTTTTTTCTCTCGTATTATCCACAAGAAGGATATCATCAGCAAAAAGCATACACCAAGGTACATCCTCCTGTAAATGTCCAGTAAGACCATCCATAACTAAAGCAAAAAGATGTGGACTTAAAGCCGGTCCCTGATGTAATCCAACAGAAATAGGAAAATATTTGGTCAATCCTCCTTCAGCTCAAACACAAGTAATAGCTATACGAAGAGGACAAAAAAAATAAATAATAAATAATAAATAAATAAAGTAAAAATAGATATAGTAGAACAGGCGCTTTTTTTTTTCAACTGACAACACTAAAACACGGCATGCAGACTTCAGAATTTCGCGGCTTTCTAGCAGCTTTACTGTGGGCAACATTAATCAAAGAAACAATCTGACCGAATCTCCAGGCAATACATAACTCTACTAAAGAATAGTGTTCAGGAGTAGCGCAGATCTGATTCCCATGATCAGACACGGGGGGAAACGATCCTTTCACGGTCAGAGCAAATAGATGAGACACGTCACCAGTGGGAATGAATAAGATCGAAGACGGGTACAGTGTCAAGAGACTAAAGCTCACACAGAAGGAACATCCGATCGAAAAGGCTGGAATCAGGGATCGAGTAAAATACCTTATGATCGGACTCCGAGGCCGACGCCGGTGCAGCGACAAGGAGGACGATAACGAGGACAGCAGCGAGGAGATTTGAAGATCTCAGACGGACGAACATGGCGCCCGCAGATCTAAGAGTCCAAAAACGATGGATTCAGCTCCAGCTTCCAGACCTTTTACCAATGCGGGGTAGAGCGAAAGAAAGAGAGAGATGCGCAAGACCCCGAGACTAGCGGATTTGGAAAACCGACGGGTTCGCTTCTGGTTAAGTTTGCGGGAAATAGAACTCTTTGATTGTCTCTCTCCATTATGGGCGTAGCTTAGGCTTAATTTGTATTCCGTTCATTTATATCTCCAATACAAAAATTATATTTGTTCAGCTTATTTGCTTAGCAAACATAACACGTAGCAATTCACAAATAAACAATCTTTTTGACGATTCTAATCTCGCAGTTGTAGGTAGGGCTGTCAAAAAAGCTCGTTGTTCGCGCATCTCCATCTATATCTAAATTGTTCACACCTTTTAATAATTTGATCACCCAAAGTTACACTTCTGTCACTAGAGCTACTTCTACGAAAATTACATTCCATGTATGCAGTTTTAGTTCTACTCAAATGAAGGTCTTTAGACTCCAATGAAGACCTCCATAATTCATGTTTTTCCTGGGCTTTTTCTCTCGTCTTATCCACAAGAAGGATATCATCAGCAAAAAGTATACACCAAGGTACATCCTCCTGTAAATGTCCAGTAAGACCATCCATAACTAAAGCAAAAAGATGTGGACTTAAAGCCGGTCCCTGATGTAATCCAACAGAAATAGGAAAATATTTGGTCAATCCTCCTTCAGCTCAAACACAAGTAATAGCTATACGAAGAGGATAAGAGGATAAATAAATAAATAATAAATAAATAAAGTAAAAATAGATATAGTAGAACAGGCGCTTTTTTTTTTCAACTGACAACACTAAAACACGGCATGCAGACTTCAGAATTTCGCGGCTTTCTAGCAGCTTTACTGTGGGCAACATTAATCAAAGAAACAATCTGACCGAATCTCCAGGCAATACATAACTCTACTAAAGAATAGTGTTCAGGAGTAGCGCAGATCTGATTCCCATGATCAGACACGGGGGGAAACGATCCTTTCACGGTCAGAGCAAATAGATGAGACACGTCACCAGTGGGAATGAATAAGATCGAAGACGGGTACAGTGTCAAGAGACTAAAGCTCACACAGAAGGAACATCCGATCGAAAAGGCTGGAATCAGGGATCGAGTAAAATACCTTATGATCGGACTCCGAGGCCGACGCCGGTGCAGCGACAAGGAGGACGATAACGAGGACAGCAGCGAGGAGATTTGAAGATCTCAGACGGACGAACATGGCGCCCGCAGATCTAAGAGTCCAAAAACGATGGATTCAGCTCCAGCTTCCAGACCTTTTACCAATGCGGGGTAGAGCGAAAGAAAGAGAGAGATGCGCAAGACCCCGAGACTAGCGGATTTGGAAAACCGACGGGTTCGCTTCTGGTTAAGTTTGCGGGAAATAGAACTCTTTGATTGTCTCTCTGCATTATGGGCGTAGCTTAGGCATAATTTGTATTCCGCTGGTTTATATTTCAAATACAAAAATATATATTTTGTTCGGCTTATTTGTTTAGCAAATATAACACCCAGTAATTCACAAATAAATAGTCTTTTTGATGATTCTAATCACGCAGTCATAGAATATTAAAGGTTCAGGCATATTTAAATCTTATTGCTTATATTAGAATATCATTTTAAATATAAATTAATATATTTTTTATTTCTATTTTTTTAATTAATAATTTTAATTGATTATAAATTATTGTAGTCTTGTAGTCAATTAAATTTTTTAAAAATACTACTCATCAATTCGACATTGTGATATCTTGATTTATTCCTAAGGTGAAAAAGTCCCTCATCTATAAAATTGGAACCTTTGGTTTCCAAATAAAATCATCAATCAAAAGTGTTGAATAATCTTTAAAATTTGATGAAAATGAGAAAACCATTCCTCTCCTAAGTCAAGAAGCTTTAAATAATTATGTTGATAATTATAATATATTCATATTGGATTAAATCAAATTGCATTTAAACATGTTACACTGAGAGGATTAAACACGTCAATTTTAGCATGCTTAAGAGATGCAAAGTATCTTGATTGAGCAAAATCATTAATGAGAGTTATGGAAACTGGTTTCTATCATGGGTCAATTTTCTTTAACACCTTCCCAAATCTAAGTCTGTTACTAACATACGTCAATCTCTTTGAAACAACTAAAATACAGATCAAATTACATGAGTATGAATTTATACCTGGATCTGAAACAATAAACATAATATATAGTTCATTTTAAAGTTATGAATATTTTGTATCCAAATATTAAAAATAATATGAAACCTACAGATATATCTGAAATAGTAGAAACAAATTTAATAGCTTGTCGGCACTATTTTAGTTAAGGAGTTGTCCGTTGGAAGTTGTCGGTCACCGGAATCGAAATTTTGTCGCCCGTTTCAGAAGGACGTTTTAATTTACATATAGATTTAAATTTAAAATCAAATATGAAAATCAAACTGACC